TTTACAAATGCAATAAAAATATCGGTATCGGTACTCGGTATCGGCAAGTACCAAAAATAAAAGTATCGGTATCGGGCGAGTACTGGAAAAAGTGGTATCGGTGCATCCCTACTAGTAATGAAATTAAATCATTGTTTTGTTAATTAAAAATAAATTAATACATTTTAATAATTTAATAATTAAACAACAACTCACATTAATTTAATATATACGTTAAAAAATAAAAATAAAAAAACAAGCAGCTTTGCCATAATTACAGCATGAAGTTGGCTGATGAATGGACTGAGTGACAAAGTTGAACTGAATTTAATCAAAATTGAACTGAATTGATCTGTATAATGACACTATTGTCGTCTGTAGAGTTGCTTTGTATTTAAAATGTGTTTCATAACTGATGATTTTTGCAACATTAACAGTTATTTTCCTGTTCATTACTGTGAAGCAATGAAACAATCTGTATTATATAAAAGAACTATAGAAAAAAATGCAACAAGTGTTTGCATTAATCTAACAATAAAGAATGAGCAGATGTGTCCAAAAAATAAAATAACTGCTAGTGTGTAGTGTGTGTATGTAGACAAAGAGAAAAGATGATGCAGCAGCAGCAGTCAGTGTTGAAAAAAAATCTTTCCATCACTTCTTCACTTACAAAAAGAAATACAAAACATTAATACAAAACAAAAATAATTACTGTGCTTGTGTGTGTGTGTGTGTGTGTGTGAGTGTGAGTGTGTGTGTGGGTGTGTGTGTGTGTGTTTGTGTGTGTGTGTACTTTTGGGTTAAAAATTTAATTGAAAATTTGAACCCAACAGCTCGTGGTTAGTCCATATTTGACCCAAAGTTGGGTTTTTTAGAGTGTATAAATATTCTAAGTAGCTTATCAATTAATTTGAGCCCAGAGTGAACTAAACTGTATAAGAATAAGGCAGGAGGCTGCTGAAGCTGCTTCATGTCACAAACTAAACAAACCCGCTAAGGTTTGAGCTGAAGATCACTGATGTGCACTGTGATGGGGTTTGTTCACCTGGTGGCACGAGCTGAGTGGCCGTGAGATATTTCTTATCCGACAGCAGACAGGCGTAGAACTTGATCATGATGCTGATGTCTTCACGCAGGCGTTTCTCCGGCTGCGTGGGGAACCGTGGAGCCACACTGAATGCACACAAACACAAGTTACATTCATTCTGCATAAGAAACCAAATCTGCCTCCTGTTTTGTGTTGATGTTCACACCTGAAGTAATCAAAGGCAGTCGAGTAGATCTTCTCTCTCAAGACGTTACGGATGGTGGAGTTAGTGACCACATCAGCGTGAAGAAGAGTGAGACTGAGGGTCAGCAGCCTAACACACACACACACACAGACACACGATATGTACCAAATATGAAATACTAAACTTTTTTAATGACATGTTGTTTGTACTGACAGTTTTATATTATTTCACTATATGACAGGATCGTAAATAAACAAGAGCTTGCAGTAAAAATGCCACCAAAATTAACAAAAATGCAAGTGAGATGTGAAAATGAACAGAAAGTGTCGATTGCAGCATTACATTTAGATCTGGCTCATGTTGCATCAACCAATTACACACACGTTTCTGTTTCTGCTTTGTTTTTCATGCGAAGACAACCAATGTAAAGTCTTGATTTTTGAATGCATAAAAAGCAATAAACTAATTGAAAAACAGTTCTTAACAAAAATACAGAAAAAAACAGTAATATTGTGAAATATTATTACAATTTAAAATAACAGTTTTCTATTCTAATATACTTTAAACTGTAATTTATTTCTGTGATGCGCAGCTGTATTTTCAGCATCATTACTCCAGTCTTCAGTGTCACATGATCTTCAGAAATCATTCTAATATGCTGATTTGCTGCTCAAGAAACATTTCTGATTATTATCAATGTTGAACACAGTTCAATGTTGTTTTGTTTTTGATTTTTGGAACCTATGATACTTTTTCAGGATTTTTTGATGAATAAAAAGTAAATAAAATAAAAAAAAGAACAGCATTTACTTAGAATAAACCGCTTTACAGAAACTCGCTGATCTGATCACAGACACAGAACAACAACACCCGGACTCTGTTTTAATCATGGGGTCAGTAAATTTTCTTTCTTTCTTTTTTTGAAAGAAATTAATACTTTTATTCAGCATGGATGTGTAAAATTGATAAAAAGTGACAGTAAAGACTTATATTGTTACAAAAGATTTCTATTTTAAATAAATGCTGTTCTTTTTAACTTTTTATTCATCAAATAATCCTGAAAAAAAGTATCACAGGCTCTAAAAAAATATTGAGCAGCAAAAACTGTTTCCAACACTGATAATAAATCAGCATATTAGAATGATTTCTGAAGATCATGTGACACTGAAGACTGGAGTAATGATGCTGAAAATAAGTAATAAAAATCTTACTGATCCCAAACTTTTGAACGGTAGTGTGTGTGTGTATATATATATATAAAATGTTTCTGCTTTCTCTGAAATAGATCTTTTTAGCAACATCAGTCCTAATCATAACTTACAAAAATTCATTAATTTTCAGGTTTTTAAACACTTTAAATGCCAGTTTGATTACTTAATGCCACACATATACTAAATGCTTAGAAGAATGCATAAAGAATGCTTAAATGGCGCTGGGATTATTGCATTTGAATGAGTTTTAATGGGGATATTTTTGTCCTTAAGATCCTAAGTGTACCTATTTTTTGTACCAAGCGTAAAACAGGTTTAGGAAAGAAAATGAGGATAAAATATTACAATTCCAATAAAAATACACATTTTTAACAACTAACACAGCTAAAATGGTTAATTAACATTTGTAACATTAATATATACTTTATGTAGGATATTCATATTATGCAACTGTTGTATAAATGCATGTTTGCCACCTTTGAGCAGCATTAAACCGTCTAAACATGCCATGTCAGATGCAGCATCTGTTCCACCTTTGCAGTGTAAAGATGACTTTTGTTGATGTTGATCAGATTTTATTGGTAACAGTCTATAGTATTCTGAATGATTGCGGTAATTGGTTAAATTTATATAAAAATACAACACAGATACATTTAATAAGTCAATAACACCCTTACAAAATAAATAAATCCAGGCGGCAAAAATTGCACTCTTTTAATGGGAGATTTCTGAAGCTGCTAAATACTGCATGTATACAAAAACACAATTCACAAATAATGGTTCACTGTGCAAATGGTGTAAATGGTGCTGCATGTGTTTAAAGCATCACCTGAATCGGGGTCCTATAGCAGCTACGTGGCGGTTCAGGCAGCTCTTGGGCCCGCCGACGCTGAGAGACAGCGCCCTCTGCAGGACGCCGGTGAAGATCTCTACCTGATCCGCACTGCAGTACTTAGCGATTTCAAATCTCTGCACTAGAAACTAAACACACACACACACAGTATGACAGGACAATACGAGGAATGTGATCATTCTGAGACAGAGAGTTTCAGAAAAATCCTCCAGCTCCTGCATGTTCTTTGGTTTCCAGCATATTCTGCATCTTCCTAACAGTGACTGTATGATTTTGAGATCCATATTTTCAAACTGAGAACAGTCGAGGGACTCATACAAACTATTACAACGGTTGAAAACATTCACTGATGAAGAAGAAACAAACATGATGCATAACGAGCCAGGGGGTGAAAACTTTCAAACAGGATGACTGGTGTAAACTCTTCATATTTTGTTTAAAGATCTTATTGCTTTTCCATTTAGTATGGCCCTTCAGAAGCTACATAAGATACTTACGTGTTTCCCAGAAGACAAAACAGAAACAATTTACACCAATCATACTGTTCAAAAGTTTACACCCCCTGGCTCTTAAAGGAATAGTTCAGCCAAAAATAAAATTTTCCTGAAAATGTGCTCACCTTCAGGCCATCCAAGATGTAGATGAGTTTGTGAACAGATCTGGAGAAATTTAGCATTACATCACTTTTTTTCAACTTTAAACCATTGCTAATGGCTAAAACACAATTCCACTATCCATAATAACGCTTCCTCCAGTGAAAAAGTGGTCTGGTCTGAATCAGGAGAGAAATCTGCACAGATCAAGCACTGTTTACAAGCCAAAACAAATATGTGAGTGAATTTTGATGTGAGAGACAACAGGAGATGGACTTTTTCACTGGAGGAAGCATTATTATGGATTATGGACTC